GTGATGGAGTTAATGCAATTGAGATTAGAATATACTTTTTTTTGGTGGACAGTTGCTAAAATCGATTTTGATTTATCGTTATTGATTTACCAAACGAAGCCATTGGACTATTGGTTTCAATAGGGAATTCAGAATATGGGACCATTAGAAACCCATAGAAAGATCTCTAGTGGACCAACAGGAACCCATAGAAAATATCTAATGGACCAACAGAAACCCATCATAGAAGAAAATATCTAATGGACCAACAGAAACCCATCATAGAAGAAAATATCTAATGGACCAACAGAAACCCATAGAAGACATGGGTGGATGCTGGTCCAATAGAAGCTTTCTGTTGGTCCATCAGCATTTTTTCTGTGGGTTTGTGTTGGTCCAATAGATATTTTCTAATGGTTTCTGTGGGTCCATCATTTCACTTTCCCTATTGAAACCATTAGACACAAATAGCTCTAATGGTTTCTGATGGTCCAATAGGATCGGATCCTAATGGAATTTCGACCTGGGGTGCTATCCCCAAAAAGCATTATCATAAAATACCATTTTCATAGTGTAACCAAATATAATGCATAGGGGGAAGTGGGGCATAATGGAACACTTAATTTCAAACTTGCAATATGACGTCATCAACGACACAAAAACAGTAAAAATAACAGTTTCAGATAGATGTTGTATGCACTTTATTATGTCAACGAAAAACCGACAAAAAACCACGGTAAAATTGCAGAGAAACTCGAAACGAATTTTACCAAAGAAAAATCCAACTTGCCCCATCCCTGAGGCATAATGGCACTCCCCCCCCCCCCCTGGGGCAAAATGGATCTACGGATCCGTATTGCCCCATCAGAACTCTAACGTTCTATATTGAGTAATGTACCTAAAGTAACTTTAAGCAAACTTGGTGGGCAGAGCTGCATAATGAAAGCCTAAAGTAGTTTCAAACATTTATGGGCATGGGTGTCGATCCCGGGGGGGATGGGGGGATATATCCCCCCCAATATTTCAGGTGGGGGGGATGGCCTGTACAATCATCCCCCCCAATAATTCACCATCAAAAACAACAAAATGAAGGGAAAATTAATGATGAGAGCCCGATAAGAGTAGTTAATGGTTATTACTCGCAAGATGACCATCGCCGTATACACATTTTGCTATCTCATTTTCATAATACATACATAATATACGAAGTAAATGAGACAAGCGTAAATGAGACAAGAATAAATTGAATTCTCGCTCATACGGCTTCATCAGGAATTAATGAATTTATTCAATTTGTTCAATCAACAGCATCGTAGAAATGCAGTGCGCCAAATGCAAAGACGCAGCGTTAAAAAGTAGCAATCTGCAATGCACATCAGACAGTCCTGGACAGTGTAAACATAGATGAACTCTGTGACGAATTCGTAATGAGATCGGAGACAAGGAGTTTGCGCGGGAGCGGGGAAACTGAATTCATACAAGGATTTAGAGAACGGTACAACGAATCGTCTTCTTTCTCTAATAATTTAATGAAACGTCAAAGCTTACCGCCCTTCACGCGGTAGGGGGGGGGGGACTGATTTCAGACAAGGATTAAGAGTCGTGAATGGTACAACGAATCGTTTTCTTTCTCTAATAATTTAAGGAAACGTCAAAGCTTCCGCGCTTCGCGCGGGAGCGGGGAAACTGTATTCAGATAAGGATTTAGAGTCGAGAATGATAAATCAAATCGTCTTCTTTCTTTATTAATCCAACGAAACGTCAGAGCTTCCGCGCTACGCGCGGAGGAAGGGGAACTTGATTCAAACAAGGATTAAGAGTCGAGAATGGTACATCGAATCGTCTTCTTTCTTTAATAATCTAATTAAACGTCAGAGCTTCCGCGCTACGCGCGGAGGAAGGGGAATTACTCGATTCAAACAAGGATTAAGAGTCGAGAATGGTACATCGAATCGTCTCTTTCTTCAATCATATCTAATGAAACGTCAGAGCTTCCGCGCTACGCGCGGAAAAGGGGGAACTAAATTCAGACAGGGATTGAGAGTCAATAATGGTGCATCGAATAGTCCTCTTTCTTTAATAATCTAAGGAAACGTCAGAGCTTCCGTGCTACGCGCGGAGGAAGGGGAACTTAATTCAAACAAGGATTAAGAGTCGAGAATGGTACATCGAATCGTCTTCTTTCTTCAATAATCTAATGAAACGTCAGAGCTTCCGCGCTACGCGCGGAAAAGGGGGAATTACTTGATTCAAACAAGGATTAAGAGTGAACAACGGTCCAACGAACCGTCTTCTTTCTCTAATAATTTAATGAACCGTCAAAGCTTCCGCGCTTTGCGCGAAAGGGGGGGGGGGAAAACTAAATTCAGACAAGGATTAAGAGTCGATAATGGTGCATCGAATCGTCCTCTTTCTTTAATAATCTAAGGAAACCGCAGAGCTTCCGCCCTTCGCGCGCGAGAGGGGGGGGGACTGAATTCAAACAAGGATTAAGAGTAGAGAATGGTCCAACGAATCGTCTTCTTTCTCTAATAATTTAATGAAACGTCAAAGCTTCCGCGCTTCGCGGGGGAGGGGAAAACTGCGCCTCCCTGCACCCTACCCCCTAGGGAGCTTGCTTCGCGTGCTCACTACCGCCCCCCTAAAATGAAATCCTGGCTACGCGCTTGGGGAGGGGGTGCAACCTGCCACACGCTTCTACCTCTTGGTTGCTTTGATCCATTGCCGAAAATATTTTGGCACCTATCATCCCCCCCAACCGCGGATACAAATCGACACCCTTGTTTATGGGGCAAACTACTGGAAAGGTAATCGTAATAAAGCCTGATTTAAAAGTAGAAAATGTAGACTTGTAAAATGTGCACTACACTCTCAATTTCTTAGACTGGAATCTGGGTCACATTTTCGTTCTGATACAACCACTAGTCACGTAAACCAACTGCTAGGCACATACTTTGAATTCAGCTAACTTATACATCTAAAACTGGCTGGGAAACTAGAACAACTATCGATTTGTTTTATGAACCAACTACTTTCAGAATGGAACATGAAACATTGGTAAACAGGCCCCTATAAAAAGGGCGAAAACAGTATTTTGTTTATTTTTGTGAATTATTTTACAAGACAAAACAAAATTAGTAATGTTGATTTTTATTCCCTTTATGCATTTGTTGTCTCTGTGCTATAATGTCGCCATAATTAAAGCACCTACTGGCTCAACAATGAATGATATTTGGAAATAAAGAGTGGAAACGTTTAACTTATAAAAATACAACGAGAAAATCCAAATATAATGATAAAAATACATATATGCATACACACAAGTGCACACGCACATTCACTCAACCATTCAGTCTTTAGGACCAACAGGGACACCATAACATTGGAGTGGTTTACTTTTTTACATTTTTATTCGAAGCCGTAAACCCTTGGCATTTGCTTAAGTCAAGCTTTCACAAGATATGTTATTTTCAATTGGGGCAAAACGGAACCCTGTTCCATTTTGTCCCGTACCTATATGGTCCATTTTGCCCCAATGACATATTTTTTAATAACAGTTTGCGTAGAAAATACCTGAAGCATAGTTGGCATGCAAACAGGCGAGTCCAACGTTGATATCTTTATGATTAATATATACAAATATTTGATTAGAATCGATACCAAAATTACCAAATTTTAGCCATATGAACATCCCCTTACTTTAGATCATGAGGCTGTAATTTTTTGGATGGGATCTTACTCCGATATGCCTCGATGTAACCGGATGAAAATTCAGTGCTGAAATTATTTTGGCATCTTCTCTTCTTCAAAGAATTTGCACAGAGGGCGACCTTTCTTAACATATGCTAATTTCAAAGTTCCATTTTGCCCCCCGGGTCCGTTATGCCCCACTTTCCCCTACACCTTTGCGATGTGCCTCAATACGCTTTATTTCATTAATCTCACTATGAATATGACTGACAAAGAAAGCGGACTAAGTATACAGTTCCCCAGGTAGAAAGGAACATCCCTTCACTGCTACTATGTAAAAATGTGTAGAACAGGTGTCACATGCATATTCACCTTAAGTCTCCCCCCCCCCCCCCCCCACCATTTAAATATTCTGGCAATGGCCATGTGTATCTTGGCCTGTGGCGAATATTTTCATATAGGTTCCATTTGGGTTTCCTTTCAAATCTAGCTCGTGCAATTGAGGTTGGGGTATTTTAGGAACGTCTGACAGACACCCCCACCAGGCGCGCCGGAAGCAGTTTGGGATTATCCATCTTTTGACACCAAATACATGGTGAATAGAGGTTTTAGTTCAAAGTTATCTTTAAACTCGATGTAAACACTCCAAACAGGTCCTTAATACACTAATGCACGTATATATGCATACAGTTGCACATGTGGGCAAAAATGTTGTTTTTGTGGAAATCAAGTCAATAACTTTGGATTGCTATAACTTTTTTATTAAAATGATATCGACAATATCGTGTGCGAAGGAGAGGTTTATAACCTCTCCTTCGCAAACGATATTGTCGTTGTACATAAGCAAATTCCTGGAAAGTTATGAACAAATGAAATTCTCCGATTTTGATATATGGAAAATAATGTGATCTTTACATCTGTACGTGCACATGAAAATTGTTTTCCATCCCAGCTAGGTTGACCCCCTTGGTTCCCGGTCAAGGACCCCCAGGAAATGAAGGAGGGGTTTGAAAATTTGGACCCCATCATTTTTGGCCAATTGGGACCCTTTTGAAGCCAAAACAGCAAAAATTACATACCATACCGCACTATACGTACCCGCACCTAGCTGCCATGCGTTTTTATTAATTTCTTGTTTTGTTGCACATACTGTATACCGCGAACTACTTTTATAATCTTGTTAGCTCAATTAAAGATTTTTTTCCAAATTAAATTTTTGATTTAGATACTCTTAGTTTTTCATAGGTATTTATTTATCTGTTATTTTCACGCTAAATTTATCCTGTTCTTATTCGGTAAATGTAAGGGAGTCTGAACTTAGGCTATACTTATACAGCGCGCGCGCGCTGCGCTTCAATATTTACACGTGAAACCATTTGAAAACATGGCAGCACCTACGTCGAATCCTCCGGTTCCAGAAAACGGGAAGAATGCTGATATGTACAAGTACAGGTCTCCTTTGGTTTCCCGATATGCAAGCCCTGAGATGGCCTACAACTTCAGTGAAGTGAAGAAGTTTTCAACCTGGAGAAAATTATGGTTATGGCTTGCTAAAGGACAACAGGTAATGCGTTCACAACAATGGTTATTATTATATTAATTATAACTAGCAGACACCCGTCCTCAATTGCCCCGCCACGTCGGGCGCAGCTGCTGTGGTGTCCCGTCGGTCTATCATGGCCGTACCTAGACCGAATTTTCCGTCTCTTTCGTTCGTTAGCCTCTTATTGGGGTAGGGTCGGCTCTCTCTTTAGAGACGGAAGCCGTTTATACACATGTCCTTGCTAACGCCACGGCCAGTTCTGGTCGTAGCGTTTTGCCCCCAAAATCCCCCAAAATGTCATTTTACCTCGAGCATGTTATAGATCTATATTGTAAATTAGGCCTAGATCTAGGCTATAATAAATCAGTTCCACTTACCAACTTGACTGAAATAATCAGTTTAATAAATAGTCCCTTTTTAGGAAATTATGGGTCAAAATCGGAATCCATGTTGAAAAAGATTTTCAAAATGGATTCCGATTTTGACCCATAATTTCCTAAAAAGGGACTATTAAACTGATTATTTCAGTCAAGTTGGTAAGTGGAACTGATTTATTATAGGTCTAGCCTAGGCCTAATTTACAATATAACATGCTCGAGGTAAAATGACATTTTGGGGGATTTTGGGGGCAAAACGCTACGACCAGAACTGGCCGTGGCGTTAGCACGGACATGTGTATAAACGGCTTCCGTCTCTAAAGAGAGAGCCGACCCTACCCCAATAAGAGGCTAACGAACGAAAGAGACGGAAAATTCGGTCTAGGCCGTACCGTGCCCGTGGCTCCATCAAGCACTAACGAAGTAGTTCTTCTTCTTCTTCTTCCTTTTGAGTACAGACCTCTTTACAGAGTATTATTAGTTGAAGTATAAACTACTATAGAATTGCTAGACCTAGATCTACATGTATAAAGTAAATTATTATTGGGTTTTTACAGACACTTATCAATCGTTTTTTTTTCAAATAAATAGTTTGTGTGTGCGTCCGCCATTTTCGATGGCAAAATGTCCATTCTGTCCTGTAAAGTATCCTACAAGCATCTCACATCGGCAATTTGGGGATGTTCATTGGTTCATCGAACACACCAGTCATGATGAAATCATGCATATTCAAGTTCAACCAATGATCTATAAAAAAAATTCTTCCTGTAGACCTTGTAGACCTAGGTAGAAACTGTGAGAGGCATTGATCCGCGTAACAATCCATGTTTATTTTCAAGCATACAACTTTTGTCAGTAAAATACAACTTTTAAGGTGCTCTAGCATTTCAAGGAATTAATTCCTGCCAGGTACCCATTTACATCACCTGGGTTGAATGTGGCAAATGTAGATCAATGTCTTGCCAAAGGATATTAGTACCGCGGCGGGACTCGAACCACAGACCTTTTGATCCATAGTCCGGAGACGTATCCACTCGACCATAGCACCTCCACCTTTGGGGAATTCTTAAATAAAACTGACATTTGTCAGCCTTCCCCATATCCAGCTCTAGATAGAAGGAACCCCTTTTTTTGCAAAGGGGGGGGGGGGGGGGGTGTGGTTAACTGCTAATAATTTTTTTACCACATTCATTACCACAAATGTGAATTTAATCACACATGCTGAACTTTGTACATGTTGTAAAGTAATTTGGACATTTATTGGAGCAGTCTTCTCATGCAACTGCATCTCATAAACCCTTATGGACTTGGTTTGCAACCTGCCTTTTGGAAGTTAAAGAGTACTAAACACAGACACAGCACACTATTTTGTTTGTATGTTATGGAGTTCCATGTCACGATAATATGAGCTCCAAATTATATTTTCATAAAGAGAAACAGCAAGTTTAAATACCCTCTCAATTTACATAAAGTGATTAATGAGTACACTAATTGATTGTTTGTTTTATTTCCGAAAATCATCATAAAAAACAATAACACAATATAACAAAATCAAAGACTTATATAACAATGATAGAATGATAAAACGGTTGGATAGTCCATTTCAGAGCCATTAACCTAATGGCTCTGTTCTTCCATGGAGTCCAATATATATATAATGATACTATAATAAGCAATGATATAACAAAATAGTAAGTCGTAATTAAAAATATTTTTAAAAAAACAACAACATTGTACTTGTACTTAACTTAACTAAATCAAATTAAATTAAAAAAAAAAAAACACTAACAAAAAGCATTAAAATCTATTCAAATATCCCCTACCATCCCTAATTTAACAAAATACGACCCCACCCTTATCACCCACCCTGCTAACAATTAACTTGATTAGTTTTAAAATATTCTACACATTATCTAATTTAGTCTGTTATTAAATTGGTTATGTTTATGGCAAAAGCCAATGGGATTGCGAAATTTAAATATCAAAATAATTGAAGTATTTTTGAACATGTTTATTAAACAAATTTAGTGTGCCTAACTGACGGAGCTTAATAGGTAGTTCATTGTATAACACGGATCCCCGATATAAGAATGTACGTTTACACTGATTGGTTCTTGGTTTCGGAAGCATTAAATTGTCATTATATCTTAACCCGTAACACTTTTCGTTAAATACATTTTTATCAGTCATATATTTAGGTGCTAGCTCATGAAATGTTTTAAACAGTAACGAACACATATGTCTCCGACGTCGAGATTGTAGGGTTTCCCAATCCAAGGTATCGTGAATCTGCTGAATAGATATATGTTCACCAGGTTTAACCTGAAGAATAATTCTTCCTGCTCGATTCTGAAGTTTCTGAAGTTGATCAAAATGATTATTATTTGCAGTTTGCCAAACAGTATCTGCATAGTCAAAGTGAGGCATAATTACAGATGTATAAATTAGTTTCAGATTTGACTCATTAATAAAATACCTCAATCTCCTCAGGAAACCAATCATTTTCCCAATTTTTTTGTTCAATTGCTCTATATGAATATTCCACTTAAGTTCACAATCTACATTTACTCCAAGATATTTGAAACATTTTACTTGAATTAGCTTAGTACAACTGTACATGTCAGACTTAGGTTCCTTTGCGGGTTTCATGGGTTTCAATGTAATACTTTGTATTCTTACCGATACTCTTAATCACTTAGCCTTTAGAAAGGCAGGTACATGTAAAGGTTTTAACTTTGAAGGTTGATTTTGTACATTATAGCATCACACAAATGATTTTGTCAGGTGATGATCTGTACACACCAGTTATCCAAGCTATCATTCATAAACTGATGTAATTTGATATTTTATTTTCACCAGACCCTTGGTCTTGATGTCAGCAATGAGCAGATCAAAGAGATGGAGGCCAACCTTGAGAACATTGATTTTGAGATGGCTGCTGCGGAAGAGAAGAAGAGACGTCATGATGTCATGGCTCATGTTTACACCTTTGCTCAGTGTTGTCCCAAGGCTGCCCCTATCATCCACCTCGGTGCAACGTCTTGCTACGTCGGTGATAATACAGTGAGTAGTACGATCGATTGGACGATACATGCTCTGGCAACGATATCTCTGCACTGTGGTCATGTCCAACAGTAACCATATAACTAACTCGTTCCTTGTGCCTGACATTATATAGAACCCTAAAGCCGGTTGTACAACACTTGCTTAGACTGCCTCAAATGCCCAGCAATAGCTTCCTACACTAGGATAATTCCTAACTTCAACCTGAGACCAAACACTAAACCTAATGTAACTCTTGTTCTGTGCCTTTAGCAACACACCCTGAATAATACCCCAGTCACACAGATGAAAAGGACACAAATTTTTTAGAGTTGATTGGACAGTGTGACTTGGATATCTCTCCCAAAGTGTTTTTGCATACATGTAGATTTAAACTTAGAAGGGAATATTGATTGATTGAATCAAGGAGGCACGATAGCTCAGTTGAAAGAGCAGTGGTCTTGTGACCCGGGTTCGAAACCAAGGCGATGCGCTAGTGCCCTTTGGTAAGGCATTAATCCTCATTACCAGGTCCCTCGAAGAGGACCTAAAGCCGTCGGCCGTCTGGTTGCTGACTTACAAGCATTTATGCTTTCTTAGCAGTCAGGTATTAAATAACCACCCCATTCATTCATTCATTCATTATTTTGATTCCAAGAAAAAAACAAAAAAACAAAAAACGTCAAACATGCTACCCAAGGGCTGAAATATATTCAATTAACTTAATATACATATTACATACAAATTTAGATGGAAATCAAGAGGTACCAATTATTATGTTGAAATAAAACTGATAAAGTGCATAAATCATACAAAATTACATTGAATAAATCCTCAAATGTTTATTAAAAATTTCAAAAGTTCAGTTTTATGTCATCAGAATTAAAAAAGGAAAGCATAAACTGATGAAATAAATTTGTTTAGATAAAATTCAACATAATGCAAAAAAAAAGAGGAGAAAATAGATCCAAAATGTATATACCGGTAGGAGTGATCTAAAAGGCTGGCAGCAGCAAAAACAGCACCCTCTTGAAAAAAAAAAATCTTTGTCCTTATGTGCCACCTTCTATACAAACACGTGTCAGCATGGATTTCATACAAAGGATAATACCTAGTGCATATTTTTGAATTATAATGTATTTTCTTTTGATATCAGACATACTTTTGGAAGAATTGAGGGTTGCCTAGGGACTGCTCACTGTAAGGTGTGAATGAACAAGGAACTGTTTGCTGAAGACATACACAAATGTTCTGTAAAGTCACAAAATAAACACAAGAAAGTGGATAAGAAATAAATATGTGTTAAAGTTTAAGGAAAAGAAGCAGGGATTAGAGAACTTATGTAGTCTAATAGATGATTTCAATAGAACTGTCCTCATGCACTTATCATTATTATTATTTTGTATTTATCAACCCATTGCCTACAGGAACTGGGTCATTCCTGTATAATGCCAATGTGAATGAGAGCATTCAGTAGTAAAAGGGTTAAATGGGACAAGATCTACATGTTGGTTGCCATTTGCCTTTGTACTTGCACGATTGAACATCTCATGACCCTTTTGTGACTGAGGAAAAGAATGCTGTTCATGAGATTTGGAAACTATGCTAACCTTAAAGGCATCGTTTAACAATGTGAAACTGAGATGCATGGCCTTACATGTACGTGTTATCAGTGTCTGTGATATGGTGTAATATTGAAGCCCTAACAAAATTGCGCTCCAAAATGATCATGTAGTGCCTCAAAAAAGTAAACATCTTTGAGTGACAGGTTTTACCATACTCATTTTCCCAAATAGACTGTAGTGTTATGGAAACTGTTGGGAAAACGAAAAATGAAATTTAGATTTTCAATCATAAACATCTTGATGATCAGATAGGGAATCGGCTTGTAAAAGTCATGGGATTCCTGACTGACCTAAAGGTTTATAATTATGATTGCAGCATGACCTAAATCCAGGATTTTGTTTCAGAATCTGAGGCAATGTTACCGAGTCACTTTAAGACTTGTTAAGAATGTGAACTCATCCAAACTTCTAAATAGTAAATTATCCTTCCTACCATTCTCTGAAAGCCCTTTGAAATGCTCAAACAGCAATACATGTAAAGGTTTCATGTGAAGCTTTTAATTTGTGCCTTTTTCTAAGATTCAATCTTCCTTACTGTCGCCAGGACCTGATCGTGATGAAGGATGCATTGTCGATCTTGCTTCCTCGACTGGCACGCTGTATACAGAGACTGGCTGTCTTCGCTGAGGAGCACAAGGCTCTTCCCACGCTTGGTTTACACACTACCAGTAGGTATCTAACCATTGCCAAGCCACAAGCTGCAAATTCCGCTCAATAACTCTTTCTGTAATAATTAGTTTGAGTGGCATAACTAGTTTAAACAATCCAACAATGTCTTTATATTGTTTCTTTATGGAAGCATTGTAAAAATGAGTTAAATAATTGTGAAGTAGTAATATGTCTTTACGTTATGATGACAAAAGACAATAGACATTGTGATTTAAATCTTTTATCAGATCACTTTATTTTGTATTTTCCCCCTTTTTGTCATGTCAGTGCCTTCATAGCGTTAAATTGTGCTACATCATGTATACAGTGGCCCTTATTCAGAAGTCGTGTCTAACTCCTGTTTAACTAAACAGTTGTCTAAGTCCTGTCTAAGTCCCGTCTAACTTTAGACACAAAGTCGTGTCTAACTTTTTTCGTATTCTGAAGTCGTTGTTTAAGTCCTGTTTAAGGGCGCGATTCTGCTGCTTTTCAACGTCGAAGGTACACTCTACTTGCTGACCCCAAACTTGCTGGGGAGAACGATGGTACGTGCATCTTCTAAAATTTCAAATCCGTTTTGCAGGATTTTTTTCTTGTGTAGCCTAATTTTTTTTCTCGATAATATGAACTATTCTTATCTACTGGTGAAATCTTGGAAATTACATAATCTATAATAAACCAACCATTCTATTGGAGAAGTTTCTTTTCTGGTTCTTCCGAGCACTGAGGCACTGATAAGTAGTGTGTTTGTCAATCTCAGTGTACAGTACGTGTGCACGTATTACGTACGTACACACAGTACATGCAGTCTACATTACGTCATGATCACATCACCATGGTACCAGCACGCGTACAGCTAGCTGTGCGCGTTAATTTATTTATCCAGTGCGCGCACACATGCGCATTGGGTCTTACGTCAGAATTAACGCCTACTGGGCATGCACATAAGTCGTGACTAAAAGTTAAACACGACTTGCGCAGAACTTAAACAGTTGTTTAGTTAAACACCACTTAGACAGGACTTAAACAGATTTTTAGTTAGACAAGACTTAGACACGACTTCAGAATAACAAATTAAGTTAGACAGGACTTAACACGACCTCATGTTTAAGTCGTGTCTAACTAAACAGTTGTTTAACTTTAGACGTGGCTAAGTTAGACACGACTTCAGAATACGGGCCATTATGTCTAAACATGAACAATAATGCCTCTTTATTTTTCTTTCTGACATGGAATAGGAAGGTGTATATAAACATCAAGGAGCGGGTCTATTTTAAGTATGAAATTGAGAAGCTCTACTCTGAATCGCTCGATGTGTTGCTAAGAAAACATGTATGCAGAGGTCTATGATGGTCACCTTTTTTCCACAAAGTTTGAAGGGGAGGACTGTTTCCATTCCTTAGTGTACTCTTCATTTACACATAGCTTTAGCAATATTATTGATTTCTAGACTATATCACCATTAACTCACACCTACATGTATAAACCTTCTCTCAGACCAGCCCAGCTGACAACGGTAGGAAAGCGTGCTTGCCTCTGGATCTCTGATCTCTGCATGGACCTTCGTAACCTGACCAGGGCTAAAGATGACCTCAGGTTTAGGGGCGTCAAAGGCACCACTGGGACACAAGCCAGTTTCCTAGCCTTGTTTGAAGGGAATGGTGAGAAAGTAGACATGCTGGATGCATTCGTTACCAACCAGGCTGGTTTCCCAAAGTAAGTATCACTTACGGTCGTATCATAAGTTCATGAGGGTAGCTGTGTTCTCGTCGCGTCGCCCCGGGGGTCAGGTTCTGCGTCTAGGACTGATGGTCAAAAGGGATTAATGCCACCCAGCGGAGAACGTTTTCTGAATAAGCTGAGATGTTGAAAACTTGATTTCTTCAATGAAAATAATGTATTTTTATTGAAAACACACATTTAATGAGCTAAAAACCTGTCAATTGTATTTGTGGCTTATTACCAAATAGTTTGTATACCACCTGGAGCAGCCCGATATTCAGAGGCAGTCCTAACATACATTGTACCGTTTCCGAGTTCCTGCACTCACTGCGCTAGCATTGCATGCTGTTGCCCAAACAGCCGATGTAATATGAGGTTTGTGCCAATTATACAAATATTTTACAAAATGAAAGTGATAAAGGGCATACATTATTGTAGAGAAGCACCTGTAGCATCAGTACCTGTTGTAACTTAGTTCACTTAGTTTGCTTGTCATGTCGTAGATATAACACTTCTGTTGCTTTATTTGCCTTTCTGCAAGGGCTCTCACTTGCCACATGTGTGCCCTAGCAAAATAAGACAGTAGGCATCAATACAGGGAAGGGTTGCTTTGGGCAGCACAATGGCTTTGCAAAATCACCTTATTTCGCTCATCAGTAGCTCCATCACAATTCTTTTAACACTGTTATAGATATATATTGCACTGGAAACAGTTACGTAATGTTGAAACCTTTGGTATATTTATCCTATGATAAATACAATGTGGCACAGGGAGATTTGTTTGTCTTGCATATAAAGAGTAAAACCAGTGAAGAATAAGCCCAAGATGGCCTGGGATGGAGGAAATATGCTTCATACCAAAAATAAAATAGTTTCCAGTGGGTTGGAGGGGTGATTATTTTTGTGAAATAGGGAAATGTATCCTGAATGCATCGTGCTATAGCAGTTCATAATAATTGACTCTCAGTCTAAGGGTTCATACCAAAATTAAAATGGTTTCCAGTGGGTTGGAGGGGTGATTATTTATGTGAAATAGGAAAATGTATCCTGAATGCATCGTGCTATAGTAGTTCATAATACTTGACTCTCAGTCTAAAGGGTTGAGGGTTTTAATCTTAGCCCTGCACTGAATTCATTTGACAAGAAAGTAATCCACATTTGCCAGTCTCCATCGAGGTGTGATTCGGTACCCAATATCCCAGAGCACGTCATATTTGGCCATAAGTCGGTTAATGATGCTGGAAAATCAGGAGCATTTTAGCTCAGTCAGTAGAGCATTCGCCTTACAACCGGGAAGTCGTGGGTTCGACCCCGGCCGTGTCATACCAAAAGACGTTAAAAGATGGGAGTTGTTGCTACCTTGTTTGGCGTTCAACAATAAGGGATAGAGCAACGTCGATCTGGCGCTGCTCAGTGGCTGCCGGGCTCACAATCAATTGGGCAAAAAGAATTTCTGTTCCGTTTAATACAATTTGGAGTGGACTCTTAGGCTTTTATTATTATTATAGCTGTTTGCGCCGTTAAACGGGCACTATTTTGCTGTGGCACCATTTTGAGTTTATCTCAGCCACACATCCATGGGGCGCTGCTACAAAAAAATTTGAACATGTTTAATTGCGTCCATTTTGCGTATACTCAGCGTAGTTGGTACGCAACTCTACCCCCGTGGACCCCACGCCTTCACTCAACTCGCTTCGATCTACCTGAACCCCCTCGTCCCCCCCCCCCACAACCCGTGGACCCCGCGCCTACACTCAACTCGCTTCGATACACCTGATCCCCCTCGTCCCCTCCCCCCACACTTTGAAAAATGTTTCTTGGGGCCTGCATGTAACATGTAAGATGCAAATTTTTTTTCTTCCCCCCCCCAACGATCTTATGGCACTTCGGCCTGCACGCTGTTGTGTTCACGTGTAGGGCCTACTTCAATGAATGGATAGACATAAATAGTGGCATGGATGGATAGACATAATATAGCGTATAGTACGAATATTGGCATGTTTGGCCCTTCATAGTCTCTTCGACTCTGAATAGCTCACTCGTTCACTCAGTGGAGCAGCCAGCGCAGTTAGAGTGCATTGCACTACACACTGTATGTGTATGGCAGAGCTCTTGAAACTGAACAATGTTTTTCTCTGATTTTCTTGTGAAAACTTTCCTTTAATAAATGATAATCAAAACTCAGTAAACATGGCCAGAATAATCACAAAATAAGCTTTGATTTCATACCTCCATTCACGAAAACTATATAAAAATCCCAGCAATAATGATGGAAATAGGTCTCTAAGTTTGGACGTGGATGGGAAGACATCTGTTGCGCTGATTTTATTTGTAGGCCTAGATCTAGATCTAATTGATTTCATCATGAAATAAGCTAATAAATATCAAATAAAGACTTAACTCATTTAAATTTTAAATATTTCATTTTAATTAAAATAAAAAATGGTAAAGATTACAAAATCTAAAATATATGAAACAAACACAGGGAAGAAAAAAAAAATCGTGACGAAGGCGGGATCGAACCCGTGCGTGCAAAAGGTGCAAAAGCTGCCGGTAAATCGAACGCAACCAGCGCCTCAGACCGCTCAGCCATTTTTAGTTCGTGACGCATAAGTAGGACTTGCGGACGCATCGACGATGTCAACGACGACCAGGACGTCGCACCGCGCTGGGACGTGGCCGAGCACTGTGATCGAGACGCCCTCCGTCCGCTCGACCGCCCGGCGGCGACCGGGGGGAGGGCGGATCTCCGGATTTCGAACAACTGCGAACGACCCCCCCTCGACGCCTTAGCGTATTGTTCGCTGTGTAAGAAGCCACCATTATTATTACCATCTAATCATATTGAAGAACAAATCTTTTTTTGTTTAGAGCCAGAAGGATTTTAAATGTTTAATTCAGGATTTCAAGATTGATTCATTCCATTCGATAAAAAACATATATGTATATAAAAGATATTACAAGTGTATGATTATACTTACTGATTTGAAGGCCGGCTGTACTAGTTCAGCCAGAAGGGATTAGACCACCCAGCTAGCCAGCGAGGTCACTGTGACAGGTGGCCATCTCACCAACTCACCTCTCAATTAACATAAGAACAAGAGGATCATGGGGGACCAACAGGCACGATTTGGAAAGTTTTCTATATAGAGGGAGCAAGTAGCTACAAGTAGTACAGTGTGGCTTTAAAGTCTCTCTGGCTCCAGATGATATATTAATCTTCTGGTATTCTTTTATTTCTTTCACAGGAAATGAAAAATTATGACATGGTTTCATTATAATTTGTTTGTGTGCTATAGGTCCTACATGGTGACTGGTCAGACGTACAGTAGAAAGATTGATGTAGATGTTTTATCTGCCCTTGCCAGCCTGGGAGCATCTGTCCACAAGGTAGGACCTTCGTAATCTGACCAGTGTAAAGCAGGGCTCCCACTTAGACGAGTTGGAGCCTCAAGTTGTGGCGAGCTGGCGCGATCTTATGGCTAGCCGTTTTATCATTAAAATATATTTCTTGATATCAAGAATTCAATTCTAGATATCAAGAAATAATTTCACATTGTAAAGCAATGGGAATTCTTGATATCAAGAATTCGATTTCGCGATATCAAGAATTGAATTCTTGATATCAAGAAATATGTTTTAATGATAAAACGGCTTGCCATAAGCTCGTCATAAGCTCGCCACAACGCGAGGCTCCAGCTCGGCTAAGTGGGAGCCCTGCTTAAAAGATGAATTTAGGCTTAGGGGCGTCAAAGGCACCACCAGGACACAGGCCAGTTTACTAGCCTTGTTTGAAGCAAACTGAAAAATTAGACATTCTGCTGGATGCATTTGTCACCAGGTCCATATACTTGATTGTCAAACCTTGTTCATAAATGTTACAATTTTATTTTGGTTCATACCAAATCCACTTGATTGGAAAACTTAAAAAACAGTTCTTTGGATGGAAACTTCTCCCAGAATTGATTTGAATATTCATAAAAAATCACAGAAAAAGGGTCAGGGTTAGTTGTGATGAATATGTGAAGTATATTTAGAAAAAAAAATCATTAGGTTTTGAAGTGTTGAAAAACCTTATACACATTGGCAATGTATGATTTCCTTTATTAGGAATCTTCCATGTGTTTTCTATGAAAAATTGTTAACAATTTCTTTTTTCTTCTATTAAACCTTTTAGAATGTACATTTTGGCAATTTATGATATGATGAGAATGTATTCTCAGAAAACAATGGCTTTCACTTTGTAAATAAAGCATGCAACACCCATTGTCATCGACTACTTTGACTGTAATTTTGTGTAACCAATTTGTAGATCTGCACTGATATACGTCTGCTAGCAAACCTGAAGGAAGTGGAGGAGCCGTTTGAGAAGGATCAGATTGGTTCTAGTGCCATGCCTTACAAACGTAACCCCATGAGAAGCGAGAGGTGCTGTTCCCTAGCAAGGCATCTCACAACGCTCGTCATGGATCCTCTGCAGACTCTCTCTGTTCAATGGTTTGAAAGAACACTGGATGATAGCGCTAACAGGTGAGATTACTGAAGAGGTTCATCTTATTGGTGATGTCACTTGAAAATTGGTTCCTTCTTCACAATTAGTAGAAAAATTTTCGGTTTCGGTAAGCTTTTGCATGGCATGCTTCAAGCTTCTTCAGACCTTTGTCGTAGCCGGTGCTGTTGCCGATGCAGTAGGACAATATAGTAGAATGAGCCTTAAAACAAGAAGGCCAATATATTCTTTCTTTCACGTATGATCCCATTCTACCATATCATTGAACTGCATCTGCAATAGTGGCAGCTACGACATAGGGCTGAAGAAGCTTGCAGCAGATTAAATAAAAGCTAACCAAAACAGGTAGTTTGTCTACTGATTGTGAAAAAGGAATTAATTTTCAACTCATCAACTTTAAATGACAGAGCTAATAGACATATTAGGCCCCTTATGAACACTTTGCTGAGATTTTACAACACTGCAGGAGTATGAGGAATCGTATTAAACACCCGATTACAAAATTTAAAAAGAAGAAGGAAAAGAAACACTTCACCTGCATTAAGAGAGAGACCTAAATCACATGTGCATGATGTATACATGCTTGTAACAAGGAGAGCTCGGTTGATAGAGTGTCTTAGAGTGTAAGCATGTCAAAACAGAGATAATGGTTCGACTTCAACACAGGTGGATGACTGAAGCCTGCGTTGTGTGTTCATGTGCCCCATCCATGTTTCGTAGATGCAAGCTAGGTAACAATGGAAGACACTCCACTGCTCAGATAGGACAGGACATTAAATGGAAGCACTGTCTGGAGGAGAGTCACCACTTTTGGACATTTCTTACCCTTTTCAGAAAAGAGTAGGGGAAAACCCTTTGGTCCAACAGCACATACCAATCCCCTCCCAGGCACAGATGACACTAAATATGTGATGCTTACCTGATAGTTACCTGATTTAAATCGGTTTCCCGATGTTTCCTGATTTTTTTTGGTTACCCTTTTTTTTTTTTTTTCTCGATTTTCTCTTATTGTCTCTATTGTTCCAAATTTCTTACTCAAAAGGGGGGGGGGGGGGGGGGGGGAGGGAATGTTGTAAGATGCCATTCCCCCCCCCCCCCCCCCCCCCCCTTGAATCCTCTCTTTTTTTTCTTCTTTTACTCAAGGGGGCTTGGTTGAGGGAAAACAAAAAACCTATTTTTTTTTAGTGCTCACTATCACCCCTGATGATGATTACATCGCCTAGACTGGCTTCAGTTCCATGAAAGTGACAGTCAAGATGAAAATCCACTTTGCCAGGGTTTATTATAGGATCATGGAAAAGGAGCTTAAGAATTGGAATCATCTTTAATCTATTGATTATGACTTGTTCCCATGTACAGGAGGATATGTATAGCAGAAGCTTTCTTGACAGCGGATGTCTTACTCAGTACTCTCCAGAACATTTCAGAAGGAATGGTCGTCTACCTCAAGGTTAGAACCATTTCTATTAAGGCCCCATTCATATATGATTAAAAAAACATGTTGAACGAATGTAAATTGCTTAAAGTAACTCGGTAACAATGTTGAAGGTTGACTACAAAATTGTGTAATTTTGGTATGAAATGTTAGTTATTATCTTCCTTCTACTATACTAACCCTCTAACATAGAAACAAATTCTGAAAAAATTCTCAAACCACAAAGATATTTATTTAATGGTTTTGAAAAGGTTGAGGAACTAGCCAATTTTTATTAAAAAACAACAATGATTTTTAACCTCTCAACATGTTGCCAAACAAAGCATTTGAAAGCTTATTTTCCTTCTCGAAAATGCTTCCATTAAAATACAATATGGTCATGCATCAACAAATATTTATGCAGACTTCACCCCCCCCCCCCCCTTCCCCCACTCCCCCCTTTCTACACAACACAGGCATCTTGTATAGGGCTTTGAATCATAAATTGAGCCAAAAACACAAAATGTAGAACGATTGTCTTGAGAGGGTTATATCACACTGTTTAAAACTCTAAGTTGAATTTTACAATTTCTCTCTCTCTCTTTCTCTTAGTCCCTCATTTCTCTCTCATTTTTATCTCTAATTATCTTTACTTTTGCTTTCTTGCTCATGTCTGTTTATCATCTGCTTTTTTTTCCTTGTCTGCTATATGTCCAAGATTATTGTCTTTCTCCTACACGATTTAAATTAAATGTCAGTTTTATCTAGACAGCAAAATTGTACCTCCCTCTATCTGTCTGCCTGTCTCTCCCCACCTCTTTTCCGTCTCCCCCTACCTCCTTTCCGTCTCCACCCCCTCCCTCTCTATTTCTCTCCATCTCTCTCTTTGTCTTTGTCTCTTCCTTTGTTCGTCAGTCGTTCCTACCACTTCTCTTCCGTATGTCTGTATCGATGATGAACATTCCTTTATCTTTCCTCAGGTGATAGAGCGTCATATACTCCAAGAGCTTCCCTTTATGGCAACTGAAAACATGATTGTAGCGATGGTGAAGGCAGGGGGCAGCAGACAGGTAAGGACACATACAGCCAGTTGAGAGAGAACATTTTGTCAGTGGAAGATGTGTCAGTCATTTGAAGGAGTCACACATACCGGTAGCTCCCTCTCTAATATAGATTGTACATGTGAGGGGGCTATTATATGACCATGACCTGTGACCACACTCCTGTACGTGGGTCAAATATCTCTCTCTGTCTCTCTCTCTCTGTCTCTCTCTTTCTCTCTCTGTCTCTGTCTCTATGTGTTTGTCTCTCTCTCTCTCATTCTATCTCCCATTCTCTCTCTCTCTCTCTCTCTCTCTCAATACAGAAAGGATAAGGGTGACTAATATACAAACACATGTACAGTAAAAAGAATACACGGGGGCTCAGGGCGAATTACCCCCCAAAAAGCCTAAAAGAGCCCCAAAAAATTTGCATAGAGTTCAATGCAAAAACAAATTAAAAAGTGTTATTTTCATGCAAGCAAGGTTGAAAAGTAGCCCCCCCCCCCCCCCCCCCAATTTTTGTAATAATTTTTTCCCTGCACATGTATATGCGTAGATCTGAATGTCAAGGGTATAATGTTTAAAATTTGTGTGGCTATACAATTAAATCAATCCAAAGTGTTATAGAAGGCAAGGTATTCAAAAAAGATAAACACCAACCGAAGTTTTGTTCTTAAAAAAAAAGAAATTTATTACAAATCTATTACTACATGAAGAGAGAGTGAAAAAAAATGCACCAATCACACAGCTCCAACAATGTAAAATACAACAAAATAAAAGTCTTTGAGAGGTTTAGAGGAAATATGCATTCTGGATTTAGCCTCTCAAGTGTATCCATAATTTGTTGACAGGATTGCCACGAGCACATCCGGACTTTGTCCCAAGAAGCTGCAGCAGTGGTCAAGCAAGAAGGTGGAGATAATGACCTGGTAGCCAGAGTTAGAGGGTCAGCATACTTTGCACCTATTCATGACCAGCTGGACAAGCTACTTGACCCAACCACCTTTGTCGGCAGAGCCCCAGAACAGGTGAGTGTTATCCTCATTCCCATTTTTCAAAGTACAGATTTATGAAATCTGTTATCTGTATTTTTTTTTTTTTTTTTTTACAGTTTTGTTTTATTAAGTGACCCTTTGTAGGATTTGATCCGTAGAAGAAAAAGATCTGAGCAATGGATTTTGTACTGCAATTATGAAATTTGTTACCATTCAACTTTTTAAAAACAATTTCTATTAATTGACCTCTTTGTATGATTCAATCCTGAGTAGAAACAAATCTGTAAGATTTGTTTCTCTACTGTAAACTTGGTTATGTATCCATTATAGTTAGATCAGGCTTGGATCCTGGTTTCTGTAGAAAGAAAGTGTAGAAGAGCAAAAATTGTCTGTAATGGTGCCTCAATTTGCGTGATGCATTCAACTGTGGAACTCTAATTTAAGATTGATCTTTTGAAGTTGAGAAATAGCATGAACATGTATTTTGAAGTACACAGAGATGTACACTGTTTTGGAGCACTTCACTCTGTCTGATTCTCATTTTCATCGTAGTGACATAAAAAAAAAAACCTCTACAACTCTAGGGTATTAAAAATCTGAAAATGTTGAAAGTTTGGCTTTTATTTCTGTGTATTATTATTCCTTTTGAAATGTCAAATTTGTAGTGCATTTTGTTACCGATCGCCGCCCCCCCCCCCCCCCCCCCCCCCCGAACGAGTTGTCAAAATTTGGGGTGCGGCCTTTTCAACATTGCGGCCTCTCTGCGAGAGAATACAGTATCCACTTTATTTATTTGTTGTGTATAATTTTCTCTGGTGAGATGTACAACCTAAGCACCATGCCATCACATGTTCAGGTCTGATAGAACTGTACCATTGCCAATGAATGCTAGTTTTTCCTATCCCCTTAAATAAGTGAAAAAGGTTTCATTGTTGCTGATGTTGCTGCATCTAATTTGCAATGTGGTTCATACATGACTGAATGTTGCAGACATATTTAGCCTAATCAAGATAGTATGTATGGGCTATGCCTCAGCTATCCAGGAAACATTCTTGATGCAGGTTTCCATGCCACTAGCTTATTTTTAATCTACCTCCTTTTACAATTTATGTGATGTCAAATCCAACTGGGCGATTTGTAATTGAATGGAAACGATGATATGAGTATAATTTGGCAAACATCCATCATGTTCATTCAGTGACCTTAACCCGACTTGACTTCTTTTTTCCTTTTTCATATTTCAGGTGACCAATTTCTTAGAGGCTGAAGTCAAACCAGCTCTCAAGCCCTTCGCAAGCTTTCTGGATGGAATATCAGAGCTTTCATTGTGAAGTTTAGATGACATTATTATTGCTTGTATCATGTCAAATCCCTCCAGTGGTCACAATTTACTTCAGTTGAATACATTCAATCTCTTATATTCGCTCTAACGTAAATTGGTTCCATGTATTGATACCGTTGTACATTTACGACGGGCGTGATGTGCATTTCTTTGTAGGATTTATATAAGTGTTTCTAGGGTAAGAGGTAGGATTTTTGTTATGGTGTGGCAAGTCTGGAACATGCAGGTACATTGTATTTATGAGCAGCTTTTCTTTATTTTTTGTTTTCTTAAAACTATTATTATTATTTTTTATTTTTTTAAATTTATATATTTAGTATTAGTAGAAGTAGTAGTAGTGGTAGTGGTGGTTACTTTACCATACTGTTAAGAAAGCATAAATGCTTATTAGTAAGCAACCAGGATACCAACGGCTTATGATGATTAATGCATGTACCTTTATATATTTTATTTATTTTTAATTTTTATTATTATTTTTTATTTTATTTATTTATTTATTTATTTATTTTTTTTTTTGGGGGGGGGGGGGGAGGGAGGAGAAGAGTGAAGTACAATCAAGGGTCTAGCAAAAGCTATGAGCTAATGAAGTGGCATAAATAGTAACTTTCCCCGAGAGAAAATTTGATATAACTTTGGCTCGAGGGAAAGTTGCTATTTATGCCTCTGAATGGTCATAGTTTGCTAGAGCCATGAAAGATAATGTATATCTGTTTTATATCGCTCATGAGCATCTCACTATTACAAAGAAACATGTACTGTGAGCATTTAGCAGCAAAGGCCTAAATTACATTAAAAGTGAATGACTAACCAGATCAGTTAAAATGGCAAAATTCAGCGAGCGTACAGGATTTAAAATGCCTCATAGCTGGCAACTCCCGCGGTGTCACAGCGCCTACGCCGTGCACTTAACGCTGTGCAGTAACCACACTAGCACTAGAACACCACCGTAGTACCTGTACAGCGCCAGCTAAACATATTTGCATCTTGCAATATTTCATTTGAGCCATGCAAATTTCTTTTATTTATATTTTTACTGTGATATGAATGTGAGTACGGTACATGTTATTACAGAAGTGTCCAAGGAATGATACAGGTGGAAGGGGTGAACAAAAAAATTACAATGACTCATTCTCAGAACAAGCTAAAACTATTCATACTCGTACTGGAGAACATAAATTTGGATATTGATCGCAGAAATATCGATGATCGCGGTGGAGAAAGTGGATTCCGGAATGAACTATCAAATTTAATAGCAAAACTATCCCTTTTTCTTGCTATGTACAATCAAAATGCAAAAAAAAACTATACATGAGGGATATAATTGTATCTAGTCTTTGGCTACTATTATGGGTTTATGTGATATTCCAATGACATGTGGGTTTGAGATCATGGCTGAATACAATGTGCTATTAAAGGGGGTGTAGCATGGCAAATACTGGTTGACGGCATCTACAACTTCTTTTGGAAAACTGCATGTAAACGAATGGACTTGATTAACGGTCAGTGCGCTAGTGTTCGCGAAATAGACCGGAGTTCTTCTCACGTTTCGGTTTTGCATATGTTGCACGCATGTGAATACTGCGGTTGTGTTATCAGTAGTCGTATTATACCGATTGGCCCCGAGTCAGGCCACGGGAAAAAAACGTAGTCTCATTATGCTGTATCCCCTTTAAGCATACTTCATGTTATTTTTGTACCTATAACAGTACTGTTCTTATGACTCTGTACCAATATTTTATGTGTGAATTCAGTCAACCTTCTGAAGACCTTTGCATACAAACATTACTTTCCTAATAGAGGTGTTGTAGTTTAGTGGTTCATTCATTTGACTTGTAATCCAAAGGTTGAGGGTTTAAATCTCAGCCTGGCGCTAACATAATTTGGCAAGTCCTGGTAGTAGTAGTTTGCAATGCACAGTGAGCGTGCGTAAATTGAAGCCTGGCTAGTAGGCTCCCCATGGAGTGGAGAATGTGCATACAATGTGTGAAGTCAAGCCTGAATCAGATGACCAGCCCGAGTTAAAAAATATCTCTGTTAAACAAATGGAGACATCATTGGTGTAAAAGGCAGTACATAAAACCAGATCATTACTATTATTATTTCCGATCATTGTTGTTTGATGATGTTCTCAGATACACATTTTCTTGTCCATGCTTTAATTCTTCTTCAAACATTATCAGAATGTCACTTGCTTAGAATCACTTTTTTGTAATTAATAACTACTGTATACAAATACATGTATATGTCTAACTGCAATTTCAATTATTGAAGTCATCAAGTGTATTAAATTTTCATTTTAAAAGTATGAAGAAATAAACATACATTGAATGTGCCGAAAATAGACCATCATCATTCTTTCCCAGTATTTTACAAGCTCTTACTGTTTATAGTGTTCTTGTTGCTGGTGGTGGTGCATGGATGTGCGTTTTGGCGGGGCATGGTGGAACCAGGTGGCAGGGCATGGTGGTAGCGGGGTGCCTGATGGTGACCGTGCATGGTAGTGGTACATGGTGGTGCATGGAGACTGCAGGGTGGTGGTGATGGTGCATGGTTATGATACATTATGGTGGTGCACAGAGACTGCATGGTGGTGATATCGGTGCATGATGGTGGTGGGGCTGGTTACTTTTTTTTCTGTTTCCCAATAGTTGGGGCCAATTAATGAAGATGGATTTTCGTTGTTGTGATGACCCGGATGAGAACAGCTAGGAAGTTGTATTTACTCCACTGAAATCTGGTAATCTGCCAGACATCCATGTATTCACGATTAACTTGTTTTAAATATAAATCTGTTGATAATCTGAAGGAAGTAAATGATAAACTGACAAAAAGGTGATGTAACTAAGCTACCCTACTTTCACGATGAAGTCCCATGTGTTTAGCAAATCAAATTACAATGCGGTCGCCTGTCTTGAATTGAATTGTCTCAAAGAGAGTCTGCAGATGCTACATATATTCCTAGAAAGAAAAGAGAGAAGAAGAAAAAGTATCTAGGAAACGTACTTGTCTCCAGTACGACAGAATGTTATCGGAGAACAACCGAGAACAACCCGGATCAACCGAAAACTCGTCCTTGAAAAATGGTATCCATGAGACCTCGTGATCTTGTATCTAAAACAGGAACCGTTAATTTGCACCAACCGTCATTTTGCTGACACAGTACTGCGTCAGTGACTGACGCTTGGATCTTTGGCGCGACTTGTGAGAGTGATATCGCACAAAGGATCATTGCAAAATGAACAACGCAAACACTGCATAGGATTACAGGTACATGGGATATCGATAATTTTCAAGTATAGGCTTTAGCCTATTGGCGCATGCGCAATCGAAATGATGCCTCGTGCGCGCAACGAGCGTGTCATTTTGAAAGCCAGTGAGTAGCATCAAGCTACAAACATAGAAAAATATATTGAAGTCTTAATCTCACAATCTTGATGACACAATTATTCACTTCGGTAATGTTTGAGAATTATTGGCATATATATATATATATATAACAAACGTGACAATGTGTGCAGTTATGAAATTCACAAATATCCTGCCAACGCAGTGCATGTATCATTTATTTGAAGGTACATACTAAGATTTATTATACACAAACAAAAAAGTATTATAGTTCAGTGTATCTCGAAATCAATATCTAGTGTTTTTTTCAATATTGAGTAGTTAGTGATACATGAGAATTTCCTGTTGTGGACAATAAGTCGTTTAACGGATTGTCAATTAGAAACTAAAGTAAAATTACTGAAAGTAAACCACGAAAGGACTATTTTCTTCTTCACTGACGTTTCGGGTAAAAGACCCGTATCAAAGCCTGAAGAATAAAACTACTTGAGCGATGTTTTTATTTCAACTTTTTATTTGTACACGTGCACCGTTGCGGGGGTGTGTTCGTTATGCATTACTAAGTAAACAAAATAGTAATTGTTATATCCCGCATACTAAGAATCTTGCAATCTGATTGGTCTAAACGAGGTCACATGATCAATGATAGATAAGTACTATCTCCCTGCGATAGGACTTTTGTACAGTAATTTTTTGCTGCTTCTCGACTTGCCCATTGAATAAGCATAATATCATTTGGCAAAAGAACTGATTTTTATCTGCATATGGAACGCTGTATCATCCGCTCAATCTGACTTGCGTGCATATAACAAATCAGCATTTTTGCGAGAAAAAGTGAAGTTTTCTAAAAAGTGCGTTTCTTTCGGGCATTGGGGTCCCATAGAAAAGTGAAAAGTATGCCGCAGACCTGCCGCAGATCTGCCGCAGACTTTTAGTCTGCGGCAAAGAGTATGCCGAAGTATGCGGCAGAAAGAAATTTTGCTGCAGACTTGCCGCATACCAGTATGCCAAAGGAACAGTCTGCGGCAGATCTGCGGCAGGATGAAATTTTGCTGCAGACTTGCCGCATACTAGTATGCCACAGGAACAGTCTGCGGCAGATCTGCGGCAGGATGAAATTTTGCTGCAGACTTGCCGCATACTAGTATGCCACAGGAACAGTCTGCGGCAGATCTGCGGCAGGATGAAACTTTGCTCCAGACTTGCCGCATACTAGTATGCCACAGGAACAGTCTGCGGCAGATCTGCGGCAGGGCGAAACTTTGCTCCAGACTTGCCGCATACCAGTACGCCACAGGAACAGTCTGCGGCAGGATCCTGTGGCAGACCACAGGAAATCCTATTAAAGTCTAATAGGGCCAATTGAAACCAATCATCTCATGCATATTCATTATTACTTTACACGTGTGACAGAAAAATACATTTATCATGATTTGTTAAGCAAATTAAGACAATGCACATCATTTTTGTGATTTCTATTTTCCTTTTGCCATTATTAACCAATAGATTATTTTGTCTGATCATGTTACAATTACATTCACGTTTAAGCAATAGATATATTGATTACTAACCAAGAAACTATGATTACTAACCAAGAAACAATATACATATTTAGTATATATATGTGTACGAGCCTGTGTCACTTTAAATGTTACTCTTGTATACACTTCAAATGATCAATGTGATGAAGTTAATACAATTGAGAATAGAATATACCTAATTGGTAATATATATATATATATATATATTGGTATTACCTAATTGGTAATATCGATATTGCCAATATCGATTATGAAGTATCAATCAGTTTATCACTGGTTCTTCTACATGCATACTTTATTGCCACGTACTGGATATGAAAGAGTATGCGGCAGGTCTGCAGCAGGTCTATATGAGATATGAATATTCATGACGAAGAGTCTGCGGCAGGTCTGCAGCAAGTCTGCGGCAGACCTGCCGCAGACTCTTCATCATACTGAAAGAGTATGCGGCAAGTCTGCGGCAAGTCTGCGGCAAAACTAATTTGCATGTGAAAAAGATGACTGTCTGCGGCAGGTCTGCCGCAGGAGTATGCGGCAGGCTCATTTCTTTCCTATGGGGTGCCCGGGAGGTATATTGGGTAAGCAATTTCTCTGTACTTTTGTCGGAAAAAACATACAACTCCAGCACAATATGTCTTCTCTTTAAGAGCAAAATAGCAAGTTCCAATCACACTTCGGCCGCTCTCGCAAGCTCTCACTCGTTCCATGAGCGGCTAATGAATTACGAATCGTTAGCTTTCGTCTGGTATCAAACCTGTTTTGATCGATTGCATTTTTTTAAAAACATAAATGCTTAGCCAATAATCTTCAACGTCTGAAGGCGGAAGCACGCTAAAAAAAAAACGGGTGTAAATATCCACTTCTGAATGACAAACGCCTATAAACTAAAAACAAAAACAACAACAGCAACGGTTATACGTCATTATCGCTAATCAGCGTATTTTATTGTAAATTAATGCTACAGTTTCACAACGTTATACATTTTTTGTAACTATTAGTAAAAATATAACATTAATTTTTCTGATATCACTGAATTTGGGGTTTTAATAAATGAGCAATTTTAAAATAAGAGCCATTTTACTAATACTGTTTTAATTTACTGGATCGTACTATTTAAGTCGCAGGGTATAGAAAGATGCATTTTCCAACCGCGCCATTTCTTTCATAGAAAGAAATGGAAATTATTTTTTTGTTATTTTAATAAATAAACGACTGATATGCAAGACTAGGTAAACACCATTATTTTAAATTTTAAAATCATTTGTAAATTATTTGACTGTGTTTATTGTTATTTATTGATTTAATTCTTATAAACGCCTGATCTGCAAGACTGCGTAAAAACTAGTTTTACTTAATTTTTAATCTGTTTCTAGTTTGATTATTTGAATTTAAGCGACTTAAATTTCTATTCCTTAAATTCTGGGACCGCGACAAAATTGTGAATCTATTGAGAATCAATTATAAAAACATTTTGACATTAATAAGACACTTTTAAATTACGTGCAAAAAATGATAAACATTCTTACGAATGTCGCATGAATGCCCATGTATGAAAACGCTATGCGAATATTGGCCCAAATTTTGCTGGGATTTCTTGCGACATACGTCGTATCGTTACTATAAATTCGATGTGATTCCTAGTAACAAATTAATTATTATAGCTGATTCGCGTAATTTCTCGCATTTCTGTGTCTCCAACTAGTCGCGAACTGTTGCATCTTAGATACCAGCTTAAGATAACATTTTGTGGAATATAAACATATTTTGATATCGATGATGACTACAGCGACTTTTGAATGTTGTCGTCAGAGAAAGTGACAAGAGAGGATCACCATTAAATTACAAGAGAATGGAATGCATGGTCAAAGAAGGGAAGAATACCATGCTCTCTCAAGATCAAATTTGTATTCTTCTGTCGGTTCAAACTTTTCATTTTGTACATGCTTCTGTTTTTGTACGTTATAGAAATTCTGCAATTCATCATTATTTTCCTTTTCTTCCTCCTCCTCTTTTCTTCTTCTCCTTCTTCTTTTTCTTCTTGTACTTATTATCATTCTAGCATCGGTTTAATGTTATTATTAATATTATCTTTAATAATTTGTTCTTCTCTTTTCTTTTCATTTGTCTGATAATATTACTATTTTAACTTATTAATCGTGTACATGTTTGTAGTAGACCCCACTGAAAATAAGCTCTCGAGCTTTCGTGGGTATCCTGTTCAGGCTGATTTAATTTGATCTGTTATTATTGTACATTGTTGTATGTTGGAAGCTTGGCGAATAAAAATCAATCAATCAATCAATCAATTAAATCATTTATTTGCCGAGTAATTGTAATATCACGCTACGTTAAAATAGTACAATGAGGTTGTTTATTAGCGGCATATAACTCAAATAGCATTGCATATATAGAGAGACAATATAAGAATAATACAAACAAGTTGTTACGCTGAGGAAAATCCCCTTCGATCCCTCTCCGC